AAGCTATTCTGTGATTCTACGGTTCTATGATTCTGCTTGCTGGGGTGAGCATGGCTGTTTCTCCCTTTCTTGGTGTGGCTGTGGCAGAAATTCATCAAAATTCTTGTCAAGTAGAAATAGTTTTTCTTCTGGAATTAAAAATATGCTGCCTTCCAGCAGAATGCCATTTTCTCTATTATTTATTTGTGCTTGTAAGTAAATTGGCAGTTGTATTTTCTAAGGAAAGGGAGCTGATGCAGCCTTGTGCCATTAAGTTGTCAGAGCCGAGCAGATGAAGCACGGAGCATTTCTGCAAAATTGCTCTCCGTACTCTCATTTAAAAGAAAGTTTTACCTGCAAGAGAAAGAGATGAAATCTGTGACACAGAATGGATTGCCTGATGTCTCCAGACTGATTTAAAGCAATCGATCTATTCTTTATTTTTAAGGTTTTAAGGCTTGTGCAGGAGCGAGCTGTGCAGCTTGGGGTTTGTGCATGCCTTTGTGTGTGTGAGTGGGGAGGAGGGGAGCTGCCTACAGCAAATTGCTTGCACTGGGGCATAGCAAGGAGACTGAGCAGGAGGAGCATAAAATGCTGTCCTTCAGGCCTTGCCTCTGCCCTTTGGAGTGTTTATGGATACTTGGGTGCCACGCTTTCAAAACTAGTTGCTGTGTTTGTGACGGAGAACTGTTAAGAGGGAAGATGCTTGCTGTATAGATGGTTATCAACACGTTCTGGGTTGAAGACGTGATGGCTGGGTGTGAAAATACACTGAAGTGTGCAGGTCAGAGGGAGAATGTGCTGTTTTGTCGTGGAAAAACAGAGTTGCTTTAGATGATAAAAAGGGAAATATGATTAAAAGCAGCTGATAAAGTGGAAACTGAAGTGACAAGATAAAATAGCAGGGCATTCAAGACAAGAAGGGAGAACTGGAACCGATGGGGTGAGGGCATGAATTACTGATTGTAATCTTCACCAGTAGGATGTCATTGCATTTTCTTATCTCAAGAACAAATGAGAAGTGAACAGAATTATTAAGCAACTTTATCATGGTGTTGGAGTGGATAATTAGGCAATGAGGATTATTCCTAGTGGACAAAGCATGCAGCCTGGAGGACTTGTGCTGCTGATTTCTGAGGACACTGGTGGGGAAGCAGGAAGAAGCCTCATTGAACAGTGCATTAGATCAGGGGTAAACCCTGAGATTGGTGCTTTGCAGCAGGTTTGAAATGAGAGCAAAAGGGGATTCCAGAGCACTGGCCAGTGAGGAAGAGTGTATTTGAAGATGAGCAGTCCTCTGAATAGAAGCAAGAAGTGAGACTGTCGGCAAAGGCCACCTGCAAGTATTGAGGGAAGGGAGGGGACGGGCAGCTTCCTAGCCTATTCGTCCTCAGTTCTCTGTTGTAAGTTATACCCAATCACTCCCTCTTTCAAGAGGAGCCTGACAAAATAAAAACACAAAAAAAAAACCCCAACAAATGAGCAGCTTTGTTTATGCTGGCTGAATCCAGTCTTATAGGGGTTGCAAAGCTGTGGGACACAGTGGAAAGCTGAGGGGTAGGAAAATGTGCTCAAAAATATCTCAGAGGAGAATAATCTGTAGCCTCCAACTGCCTGTTTTGTCCTCTGAAACCACAGATCAAATCAGTGGGAGCAGGCTCTGGAAGGGCACGTGAAACATAAGGAGCTGCAGCCCCAGACTTTAGGGTCTCTGATGCAGAAAGCAGAACCATCTCTCACAGAGGCTAATGTGGATTCCTAGTGTTATGATGTCTAGTGGTGAAAGGTGTTTTTGGACGATCTGAGCTATGTAAGATCATCTCTTGCCTGTCTCCTGAGCCTTCAGCCTGCCTCTGACCAAATCCAGACTCACAGGAAGGATTTGGTTATGGGTCTTCCTGACTCTGCCTTTGGTCTGGGGTCCTCCAAGGAATCATATATTGGTTTGAGTTGGAAGGGACCTCCAAAGGTCATCTAGTTCAACTCACCTGCAATGAACAGAGACAGAAAAAAGGGCTGTGCCAGCACCACAGACTGCAGCCTACCTCGTCCAATGAGCACAACGTCCTTAGTGTTGGCACCATGGCTTCTTAATGGCTGCCTGCACACTTTTGAGGGGCAAAAAGGACTAAAAATAACATGATGCATCTGTAACTGAACTCATCCCAGCTGCTCAGATTCCAATTCCAGCTGTGCTCTGTGTTTGGCATAGGCCTGTCATCCCCTGTGCAGCTCAGGCTGAAACTGTGCCAGTAATCTTAAGCTAGATGTTATTTAAAATCAATTTGAGGAGATGCAGATGTTATATAAATCACCGAGGAAATGTCAGATTATGCATGCAATTTTCAGAAGTGCTCCACAGTGGTTTGACTCAGCTCCCTGTGAAGCCCAGGACTCAGCATTAAGCAAAGGCAGAGTCGGTGCTGGTCACTATCCTCAAAAAGCCATAGGAGAGGAACTGGCGCTGCAGACCTGTAGGATTGATGTTGCACCCAGAGGCTAAAGCCATTTGTTCAGGACACTGAGTGATCAGGGAAGGCAAAAAAGAAGAGGATGAAAAATACGTGGAATAGAGTATTTGTTAGCGATTATTTGCTTGGCCTCATTGGCAAGTCACCTGGTGTTCTTGGAAAGCTTTTTGTTTCTCTGAGAAATTGCCATAGTGTTCCTCTTCCAAGACCAACTTCAGAATACTCATGATGTATAATTATGCATAAGGAGAGGCTGCAGTCCAGAATCAATTGATGGTAGCCATTAAGAGTAGCTATAAATCCTGAACTTGATAAAAGGCCCTATTTCCTCCCCATGCTTAGCATCCACATATATGTAAATAACTGAAACACAAAGTGCTTGGTTTCAGTGCCACAGTGACTTGTCATTTCCTCAGAAATGTTAAAATAGTTCCATGCATGAGTAGCATCAAAAGTGTTTGTCACACACAGCAATCTGGTGCACACTGACATGTCACAGGAGTCAGCCAGCAGCCTGTGGCCAAACGAGAGCATCTCACAGAAGTGCCCAGCCTGGCACATACAACATTATGTTGTTCTCAGGCTGATTTCTGAAGGTGTCTGTCATGTGCTCTACCTTGCTGAAAACAAGGTTGGTTTTAATAATAGGCAATTGTATAAATAGCAAACCTGTACCATAGCATCTGTGGGTCCCATTGGACATGCTGATGTTGTTTTGTGGAGCCGAGGGGAACGAAGCCAGAATTTGTATTTGTTGAAAGTAGAGTATTATTAGATGATCTCGCCGGTGGAAATAGCAGCCCCTACATGCAAACTGTCAGAAATACTGTGGAGTTAATTGCTGCTTTAGAGGCACTGATGTTCAGTTGCAATAAAGTGGGTTGACTATCGACAAGATCACCGATGCAATGTAATTACTGTGGAAGTCATATAAAAATAGGCTCTGTGCTTAGCTAGAGCTGTGGCCGGCAGAGCATCGTGGCAGCTTTAGCTGTGTCTGTGTATGCACTGCAGGGACACACATAGCTGCCTGTATGTGTGCACTGAGGACATCAGTCAAGATCTTCCAAGCACGTGCTGTGATTTTGAAACCATTTTTGTGTGTCCCTGATTCACAGCCACTGGTCCTCCTGGCATATGACATAACCGTGTCATCAAAAAATGAGAGTCAGCAGAAGGCTCTTTGGCAAGAGTTTTGGGATGGTTTCCTTTGCTTTGCAGTATTTATGGTTTTTCTTATTACCTCCTAACCACTGTGCTTCTTGGTATTGTATGTGAGACCTAAGGGTGATCTAATGACACACGTGTATACCAACATACAAGCCCTAACATTGCTAACAGAAGCTTTGACGGGTGCTGCTATAAGAAGGCAGGCTTGGAAGTAGAGTCTCCCTGCATAAACATTGTGTTCCATTTGGGATCTAACATACTTTGAGGGAAATAACCCACAGGTTCCACGTGTGTCCCCTTGGAGTAGGAGATCCTTGCTCAGGGCTTAAAACACAGTTGCTGAACTCTGATACCTCTAACTCATTTCTTGACTATCTCCTGTTAGTAGGAATTCACTGAAGCAACAATAGGAAGGGGAACAGCTGTTTGTGAGGGTGGATAATGATAGGACAAGGGAAAATGATCTTAAACTGAGACAGGGGAGATTTAGGTTGGATATTAGGAGGAAGTTTTTCAGCCAGAGGGTGGTGAGGCACTGGAACAGGTTGCCCAAGGAGGCTGTGGATGCCCCATCCCTGCAGGCATTCAAGGCCAGGCTGGATGTGGCTCTGGGCAGCCTGGGCTGCTGGTTGGCGACCTGCACATAGCAGGGGGTCGGAACTGGATGAGCATTGTGGTCTTTTGCAACCCAGGCCATTCTATGATATGATATGATATGATATGATAAAGTGCTCAGAATTTTGTCCTCCATACAGAGCAGACAAATGTAGAACTGCCGATGCAGTCACCAAGTTGTGCACTCAATGCCAAGCAGTTCTTTGATACCAGCTTCAGATTTCCTTCCCAAGTACATGCCATTGAAGACTTTTCATTCTTGGATATCCCATTTCATGAGTCTTATGTGGACTGTTAGGAAATGAAAGTGTCTGTGATTGCAGTACAACTTTCCTTGGTTTGGTAATACAGCTCCTCCAGCACTCTCCCTGTCCACAGATTGTACATGGTGGCAACCCAGAGCAGACAGTGGCTGCTTCCAGAAAATCAGGACAATAGAAAACAAGGAATAATGCCTTCTTAGGTGTCAGCACAGACTTATGCATAACAGAGTGTGGAGGAGGCCAGTGAAGGAGACAGCCACGCTGTAGGGTTATCTCCTTGTTTGACATCCCACCGTGTGGATGAGAAGTGCTAGTTCAAAAAGAGTTTCTCTTGTTGATTTGCTGCATTTTCTCTTCTTCATGAACGAAAAGAGTGGAAATCTAATGAAAAGTGTTATCAGCTTGTCAAGTTAATTTGTGTCTATTTCAATACCATGATTATTATCTGTTACTAATTAATATAAGTAAGATGATTCTAACTTTTTTTTGCCTTATTTTTCAGTGAGAAGCTGGATGGAGAAGCTGAAAGATAAGGTAGGAGGCTCAGTGTTTCTCTCAATGACTTTAAAAGCAGAAATATTTTTACTTGCAGGAATAAATAAGCTTTTGCCAGTGCAGTTTGTTCTGTCTGCAAAGATGGTTGTGAAGGGGCTTAACATTTCCACTGGGAGACAATGAACCAGCTGCTGTTGTGTATATTGGTGTAAATCCACAGCATATCACTGACAGGTAGCTAAGAGCAAAATGAAAGACAGAGGTGTTGGATGGACTTCTGTGCACCAGATGGTCACCTTCTCTTCTAATTCCCAGAGGATCTTTTTTATTGCCCTCTAAGTTTCCCCCCACCCCTTTTCTCTCAGCCCAAAGCTTGGCTCTGGCTGTGTGCTTTAGCATCAGCTCAAAGCCAGACCTCTCCTGCCTCATATACAGGAAGAGCTGCCAGTACCTGGCAGTAGAAGGAGTGAACATAGGGCAACTGAAAAGACACCAGACCCTGATCTTTTCTCCCTGACATTGCAGAGTGGTGGTATGTAGAATAATGAGTTGTACCAGCCACAGACCAATAAATTTTCAGGCTCTGCTACCCTAAGGCAAATATTAAGATTTTTAAATGATTGTGAAACCTTTCAAATGCTTTGTTGACAGTGGTGAAGCAATGAAACTAGAAATGAAGTGACAGGAGTGTTTCTATGCGGTAATATGTTGTGGCTTATGAACTCTTCAATAGGATCAGAGACAGTACAGATAGAAAGACAAAGAATGAAGAGCTCTGGTCCCTGAAAACACATAGAATCATCAAATGTTTGGGTTGGAAGGGACCTTAAAGCCCATCCAATTCCACCTCCTGCCGTGGGCTGGGTCCCCCAACCAGCTCAGGCTGCCCAGATCCCCATCCATGGCTTTGGGCACCTCCAGGGATGGGGCACCCACAATCTCTTTGGGCAACCTATTCCAGTGACTCACTGCCCTCTCAGTAAAGAATTTCTTGCTAACAACTAATCTGAATTTCCTCCCTTTTAGTTTAAAGCCATTCCCTCTTTTCCTATCACTGTCTGCCTCTGTTAAAAGTTTGTCTTTCAGCAGGGATGAGTTTGAGCAGACTGTCACCCAGTGAACAAAGCCCTCTCACATGATCCCTACTAAATTTCAGCAGTACCGAATCTGAAAAGAAAGAATGGGTCTGGGTGTCAGTTTTCTGGGATTGAGGAGTGAAAGGGTTGAGGAGGATTTGTGCCCAGCCCTCGTTGAGTTGATTTTCTGCCCACAATAGGAAGGAGACATGTCTAGTTTCAACTTTGCTCATAGCAGAGCATCCTGGCCTGGGATTCAGCCAGAACGAGCGTTGCAAGGACAGAGAATGGTTTTCCCAACAAAGGTAAAAAAGCAGACACTGAGGCTGGTTGGGTGCCTGGAGGGATTGCAGCATGCACGTGTGTCACCTGCTCACACCAGAGCTACCCAGCAGCACCACACGAGCGAGGGGGCATCATGTGCCTTCTGTGTATTTCACTTTGTTTCTTGTTGGCTACCCCTTATGTCCCCACGAGGGGGATGCATGTTTCTGTTTCTAGCAGAGTTGCTGTCTGGGATCTGATCCTTTACAGCACTGGTATAACCAGGGATCTGCTGGTGTGCACTGAAAAAAGAGATATATCTCCTTCCTGCAGGGTATGGCACTGGGGAAGGCAGATCTTTCATCTTGCTTGTTTTCCTTAACCATCTTTTCCCTCAGAAAAGCCCAGCAAAACCCACTCCTCACCAGCAACCAAGTGGTGATGAACCAAACCATGCACAAATCATTCTTGCACACCGTTTCCTCCTTTCTCTTGTTGTCAGCACCAGTCTTAATAACTGCCCTTTCCACATGCTGTTGGCAGAGTGCTATCGTAGAGCCATAAGACATCCTGAGTTGGAATGGACCCATAAGGATCATTGAGTCCAACTCCTGGCTTCACACAGCACCACTGAAAAACCAGACCCTATATAGTCTGAGAGCATTGTCCAGATGCTCCTTGAACTTCATCAGCTTGGGGCTGTGCCCTCTGGGGCAGAGCCTTTCCTTGATATCCAACCTGATCCTCCCCTGTCCTTTCTTCCAGGAAGGTCAAAATGAGGAACTGGGGTCCATAAAGAAATTTCATCTTCCCTGTGGGCAGTGGGTGAGAAAGTGGCTTTGGAGCTGCCTGTAGAGTGGGGTTTTGTATCAAACAAAGCCCTCACAGGTTGGGCCACATGATGCAGGAGGGCTGGGGGGACAGATCTAGAGCTGGTTCACAATGCAGGCATGTGGGGTACAAACCATTGGTGTGGTTGTTGAGGAAGGCTGTAAAAAGGGCATGGGCTGAGCAGGTTGGAAATGTTCATGGACAGACTGGAGAGTTCATCGTATTAAAACCAATGATTTCTGGTGCAGAAACTCAGCTGGACAGCAGCTAAAAAGGCTTTTCCAACTTTCCCTTGCCTCCTGTGCCAGCAGCACTGTTCCCAGAAATAGAACTACCCACGCTGCACTAATTAGGTCACCCGATTAAAGTGCCTTAATTGCCTGGTGGAGATGCAGGCTTTTTGCCATGTTCTCACTCACCTCCTTTCTTGGGAACTTGGGTGCCACACAGAACTCCCTGCAAAGTGCAGTGCTGAGCAGGGCTGGCTTTGCTGGGAGGCACTGCAGGATGCAGCCGTGAGCCCTGGGATCCAGGCATGAAGATGTTCCTATTTAAAGAGCCCAGCAGTATCTGGAGTGGTCTGTGAGAGCCAAACAGCTCTTGTTAGCATTGTGTCTGTCCCAGATGAAAGCAGTTGATTCTGTTCTCCAGATAAGCACATGAATTGTGCGTCTGTCCTCAGCAGATGTAAAATCTATTCTGGGTTTGTAGATGGGGAAGGGTAAAGCTGCAGAGAATGAAGGCAGCACTGACAGGACGTGAGCTGTGCCTGCCTGCTCTGCTCCACTGAGACCCCGGCCTGAGCTAAGTGAGGATGCTGTAGCAATTTGGCACTTTAAATCTTAATTTTCACTTCAGCAGTAAAATAATAAGCACTTGGAAATATTTTCCAAAGGATTTCAAATGTTTCCATATTATTCATGGAAGCCAAGGGGTTTCCAGGTGGGCTGGCTGGGGCTACCCTCATCTCCACCCCATGGTGTGTGAACACAGCTGGTTTGGCATTTCAGCTCTTTCAGAGACCCAGACGTTGTGTCCCTTCCTGGAAACCTCGTCCCATGCAGGTGATGATAAGGTTTCAAATGCAGCGAAGTGAAAGAGAAGCGTGAGGTTGGAAAAGGATTCTGAAGGGATGCTGTTGTGAGTGCTGCTCAGCCTGTCTCTCTCCCACAGGCAGGATACATGTCAGGGATGCTGGTTCCTGTAGGAGTCGGGATAGCTGGAGCCCTCTTTATCCTTGGAGCACTCTACAGCATTAAGATTATGAATCGCCGGAGGAGGAACGGCTCGAAGAGGCATAAAAGAAAGGTAGAGCAACTGCTAAGAAAGAGAAAACCCTGGTCTGTCCCCATCACTTTCTAGTTCATTATCTTGGTTGTAATCTGGTGATGGAGGGTGGTTTCTCTGAAGCTATGTACACTGGATCTCTCAGTTGGAGTGCTGGGGGGGGGATCCAGATGCTGCTCCATTTAGTTTTGTAGGTGGAGCTATTTAACATTTCTTTTTTACCCCCAGCAGAGGGAATTTAACAGCATGCAAGACCGAGTAATGCTCCTAGCCGACAGCTCTGAAGACGAATTCTGAATTGAACTGCAGTGCCCTTGTGATATCCAGTGACTTGTAAAAGGAGGGAGGGGAGGAAAAGAAGAGAAGGAAGGACTTTCTGCTGCATCGCTGCTCTCAGCCACCCCAAACACTGAGCAGTGGTTGGTACCACCCCGTCGAACCAGCATGCTATGCTCTACGTGTACTGCGCAGTGATGTTTGTTTTGATACAGTAGTGAGATTTCACATTTGCACCCGGCGCCTCATTCAGATCCACAGCACATCTTGTTGCAGCTGGAGCTGATCTGTACGGATGATTATTTTCCTATTATCCTGGTGTACTATTTCAGACCTGGCTGGCAGTAATCTAATCATAACAATAGCTCTCACCTAAGCCGGGAATGGAAATCTTTACTGTGAATGACTTCTGTCCAATTTGTTAATTTTAAATGTTAACATTACCTGAGCTAGAGTTCATTAGTGCTGAGATTAGCTGCTCTGCTTAATTAATGAATTACCCACTTGAACTGTATCCCTCATCACCTGAGAAGTGCCCAAGTACAGTGTTGTTGATACGGTTTGAAGCACATTTCTACGCTCTTTTCCCCAATTCCCACCCCTTCTTTTACAACCTCTGCCTTTAGCTCTGCTCCACGCTTCTTGGAAACACATGGGAATGGCCTCAACTCTTGATTCATGACAAAAATTTTAGTCCATTTTCTACCAGCACTGTCTGTTACAGCACAATAAATACCAGCGCTCACGTACTGATGGGTAGTCTTGCATGGATCCCTTAGCTTTTGTTCAGTGTGCAGGTAGGTAAAAGGAAAGCCAGGTCAGAGGTTTCCTCAGCTTCTGCCACCTGTTTCTAGGCACTAGAGACTGCTTCTCCTGGCTGCGTTCACATTGAGATGGCAGTGGAGCATGTCTCCTTCCCCAGCTGCAAGTTGCATTTTCAGCCCCTGAAAGCTCCATGAATGGCAGAACTTCTGGGAGATCTGATGGGTCTTGTCTCCATGCCACCAAACACAAGGAAGGCACCAAAGGTGGTTGAGCTGTCAGGGTGTTTTGAGGCTCCTGGCTGCTGGAAAGCAGCAATAGCCCAAGTTGGAGGCATGTCCATGGGAAGCGAGCTGGTTGAGCTGGGAACTCTTGGTCAAGGGGAGATGTGTAGCTGTAGGACAGATGGCTGTGGAGGGCTGTGGAGATGGATCCTAACAGTGCCTTGGGGTGAGGGCAAGCTGCCTGTGCTGCTGGCAGCAAGTTGCAGTGGGAAACAGCCGGTGTCTGACATCATTGAACCGAGCAGGGAAGCTAATGGTGCTTTGCACAGTCAAAATAGCTAATAACAAAAGGGCTGCATTACTTATCTCTCTTGCCAGTTGTGCAAAGACTCTTTAATCTTGTGTTTATGCAAAATATCCGTGTTTCCAAGGTGGAAATCACTGTTCTGTGAGGAGTCATCCTTCATACAGAGAACAGCATCTGTCACCGAAGGAGACTTGGTCAGAGAAATGAGATCAGACGGAGATGAGTCCCACTGAGTCCTAGAGGAGGTGTGAGGGAGGAGTGAATGAGGTGACACCCATATAGGACTTCATTCTCAGTGAAGGTGAAAAGGCTGTCAGGTTGCCAAGGATATAGTTGATGGTAAGCATATGTCTTGTGGGCCTATGAATGGGTTTGTGTGGTAGAAACCACATTCAGAAGATCACATCAGAAGAGTCTAAAGCTCAGTTCTCTTTTCAGAGGGTCCTCTGAACAATAAGTCATCAGATGGACATCCAGTTCCAAGGAAGCAGTGCTCTTCAGAGCCCAGGTACTTTTCTGCCAGCCTTCCCCTCCCATCCAATGAGTCACCTGGAGAAGGACAGTCAGGACTACCTGTATTCAAAATGCTGCTGCCAATGCTAGTCTTCCAGTCCTGGAGCTGTGCATGGCCCTCGTGCTCATCCCACTGGGTGGTGGGAAGCAGGCTGGGGGAAGAGCCATCAGTGTGCCAGGCAGTGTGCATTCTTCTGTCCCTCTGGGACAGGTTCTCCCTGCCAGGATTCCACAGTGTTTGTCTTTCTCCCATTTCATTCCTGCAGCTTTCATCAGGAAGATGTTGCTTTGCTAAAAGCAACGCCAGATCTCTAAACAGCCACTGCCTGGGAGCCCATTGTTAAGTCCCTACTCAAAACTGAGGTCTTTTTTTTTTATCACAAGTGGTCAGTCCAAGCTAAGAACTTCCCTTCTGGACTGATCTCTCCTTGTTTCCTTCTCATTCCTGTCTCTCTTGGAGACTACAGGTGCCTGGGAGGTGTTAAAAGCCTGCTAGCATAGCTGATTGTCCTAGTAGCCTGGAGGGCCAGTGGGCTGGAGGACCAAGTAGCCTGGAGGAGCAGTTGCCAGTGACACTGCTGCATAGAGCAGGGGTACCAGCAAGATCCAAACAGCTGGGGATCAGCAGGGCTTTGTGCAACAGCAGCCTGTGAAGGGCAGCCTCTTTTCAACTTCCTTGTTAACAGTGATATGCCAGTGCAGTTTGTGATAACTGCAGACATCACATTGATAACCAATGAGCTCCTAGGCAGTGGGGAGGAGGAGGATGGCTGAGCAAGGCTGCTGGTGTGAGTGCAGATACAGCAGCCCTGGCAGGGCTGTTTGGGTGGGTTGTCAGTTTGATGGATTCAAAAGGCTGGTGGGGAGGCAATGTGGCCTTTCACTGTGCTAATTAATCCTCAGTTTGGGAAACATTTTCTACAATGGCAATCAGTTTCAGTGTCTCTCTTCTTCTCAGTCCTTGACATAGTGAATTTAAATTAAAGGCAGCGTGGTCTGTTAGACAAAGCTGGCATCTGAGGGCATAGTGTGGGTGACCTGTAGTCTGTGAGAGCCACGCATCTCCCAGTGAGGACACACAGTGGGTGTGCCACAGGTAAGGATGGCGTTGTTGCAGGTATCTGACTGCTTGTTCTGCAGGTATGATGGGACAAAGTGGGCAAGCTGTAGCCAAATGGGATGTCCAGCCAAATGCACAGCTTGGTGTTGGCTCTGGAGTCTGTGCTTTATCCAGATCTGTGGATAGAAGGGCTGCCCAGAGATTTTGCTTGTGCTTCAGCTTCACTCCAGTCCTGGCTCTAGCTCTGACCCCCACTCTACCATGCTTTGCTCCTGGGTTTGCTACCCACAGACACGGTGCCTTGATTGGGAGCTGCTGGTCAGTGGAAGCTTATTGTACGCCAGCTTTATGAGCGGCTCAGCAGTGCAGAGATCCAACCAATGTCCCTTTGAAATAGAGGTCTTTAATAGTTATTTTTGGTCAAGCACCTACCCAAGAGCCTGGACGCTCCCCGTATCTTCCAGTTTAGTTCTCCTTGGGGTGGAGGTGGCCGCAAGCAACCTTATGTCCCAGTGAGACTTCCAAAAGCTCTTGGAGCACAGACAGGGTTTTCTGCAGAGCCTCTGATGTCAGTGGGATTCCTGCAGGTCCTTAAAGCACAAGCAACATTCAGCTCCTTCTCCTCTCATCCAAGACCAGTGGACTTTGAACTGGGCTCTTAAAAATATTTTCTCTGCAACTCTTGGAGTTAGATTAATTTGCTGGAAATTATCAGATTGCGGATGGGGTGGGGAGAGGGTTTCCAGTGGGAAATGAAGCCTTGGATCTCTTAAAGCTCTGCTGGTTTGATTTGTATCCCTGCATTTCTAAAATAAAAAGGCACATTCTTTTGAGAAATAAAAGAGAAGCAGCAGAAGTGCCCTCTGGCCCTGCACAGTCAGTGCTGGGTGACCTGAATGTAGAGATGGGTCGTGCCGCTGCTATGCAGCGTGAGCCCCATGCGACAGCACAACTGCAAGGACGACTTTGCTGCAGCAATAATCCTCTCCTGACTTGGCACAAGACATGTAGCTCACCTCTGTTTTCCCGTGGATGCCCAGTTTGGGATCTCTTGATAGCACAAGCCAGAATTTGTTGTAGGCAACACCTTCCAGCATTCACAGCCCCATTTCCAATGGGAGGAAGCAGCCTGCCTGACACGCAGCCCTTGTCCTGATGAAATGTTCCTGCACTCCACAGCTGCTGATTTTTTATGGTGTCTCTAATGCCAGGTGTTCACCCTAGATGAGGTTCCTTTGGACTGCACTGCTTCCAGAGAGGGATATTAGCAGTCCTTGTGCTTTCTTGTGGTTTTCAATTTTGGACGAGACCAACTCCTCATACTGTAACTATGGAATGTAGCACTTTGTTAAAGTAAAACATTGGAAAATAAAAAGCTGGCCATCATAGCTGACTTTCAACACCTTGTCTCCCTGATTTGTGGTTCATCATGTGCTCTGTCTCAGTAAAGCTGCCAAGTGGTTGCTTGGATATTAAAATGTTTCATTTCTTTTATGTTTGGTGCAAGGATGAGAGCTGGGCTTGAAGTGGAATGCACTGAGGAGTTTCAGCCTGGGACATTTTGGGTTGGATTTACCTGGAGGTAGGTGTTGGCTTTGGGCTATACTGAATAACACCCAGAGTCTTCTGGCTAGACTTTGAGGAGCTGTAAGGGGACCCAACACTGACATGCTTGAGATGTTGAACTTAGAGCCAGAAGCTCTTTGTCCACACCAGGATATTTTTTCCCATCTGGTGAGACTCGTGAGGCAAGGCCTGTGCACAAACCTTTCAAGATCTCAGTGATACATGACAGGTTAGCCTGGAGTCTCAGATGCAGGTACTGCAAATGACTCCAGGAAACGGCTGACTGCATGTGAACACCATCTCATGGACTTCCATGGCCTTGTGGTCTAAGAAGCAGCAGAATACCCAAAGAAGTCATGGATGCCCCATCCCTGGAGGTGCTCCAGGCCAGGTTGGATGGGACCATGGGCAGCCTGATCTTGGTTGGCAACCCTGTCTGTGTAAGGGGGTTTGGAACAGGGTGATCTTTGTGGTCCCTTCCAACCCAAGCCATTCTATGGTTCCGTGAATGGGCTGAGAGAAGGCAGATAGGCTGGGTTTAAAGAGGCCTCGCCAGCCCTGTTTTCAGGCATCCTTGCACAGTTTGCATCATTGCATGGTCCTGATATGTGTCCTGTGCACCCAGTGGGGCACCCATCCTTTGCTGGGTTCCATCTCATTAAGAGAACCAGCAAGAACTGTTTGTCCATATGTGTGTATCTTCCTAAATGAAAAGCAGTTCATTCAAAATAAGCAGCTCCCAGGGAAATGGCCACTTGGGAATTGTACCAGCACAGCCTTTGTTAATTGGTAGCTGCTAAAAGCAATCTGTATATTCATGAAGCTGTTTGCTTCGTGTCTGGCTCGTTTCTGATGAAAAAAAAACAAAACCTGCTGGAAGAAGATAAGTGATGACATTCCCTCTGCACCTGGAGTTACATTTCTTAGGGAAGTTACTCTGCACTCACACTGCCTTGCTGTGAGCCTCTATCTTCACCCAAAGTCCCTGAGTGGGACTGTGGGTTAGAGGGGAGAGGTCATATGAAAACTTTCCACAAGAAATAGTATTTAAAGGGGGGCCATAAGAATCATAGGATCATAGAATGGCTTGGGTTGGAAGGGACCTCAACAATCATTTTGTTCCAATGTCCCCCATGAAAGAAGCAGACAGACAAGGCAAGGTTTCAAACTAACAGAGGGATGTAGATTACATTTAAGGAATGGTAAGGGTTGTGAAGCACTGGCACAGGTTGCACAGAGAGGTGATGGTGCCCCGTCCCTGCAGACACCCAGAGATCAGGCCGGATGGGCTCTGAGCACCTGATGGAGCTGTGGGTG